TAGTGCCGCTTTTCTTCCCATGCGCTCCCAATTGGCTATCGTCGGAGCGTCTCTGAAAACTTAGGCTTTACTACTGAACAACGTCGTCTTTGAGAGTTCTATTATTTTTATGTAAAGTTGAAGGATAATTTTTTTAAACATTCCTGAAGAAACAGATAAAAAGATTAAACATTTAGCGCCTATTCGACATCATGATATCATTTCTAATGATGCCATTTTCAACAGAATGGTTTAGGTTTGAGCAACAGAGGGTAGGAGTGGGCACTGGAAACTTTCTTACATATGAAAAACAACTGAAAAAAATGTAATCAGTATTTTAAACTGACTTCCAAATTCATGCACCAATATAACTTGCATTTAAGGGCATTTGCACGATACTGATTGGTATCATTCGATAATCCACGTTGACTCTGTTCAATAGTTATAATCACACGAAATTGAATTTATACTAATCATTTTAACATTTTCAAGAATTTCCGTAATATTGCAATGATATAATGACAAATAATAAATCTATACAATAAATTCCTCAACTGATAAAAGACCATCTCAATGAGAGCATCGAATGCAATCAAAACGAGACGGCTCAATAATGTAGAAATTTTAGACACATTTCTACGAGAAGTCGAACTGAGGCGAGACATGCAGGCGAGGTTAATTAAGTTCTTGCCCTACAATTGCCGGCCGTCCGCATTCATTACCCAAACTTGCCAGACAACAACTTTTGAGCCTGAAATTGCCGTCATTTTTGCTAACTGCAAACGGCCTACACGGCTGTCTGGGTCATAGGAATATATGAGATGCAATAATGGTTAAAGCGAGTTACCAAAACCGCCTTGAGTCGCTTTGTAACTCTGTTCTAAAATTCCACAGGTCGTTTTAGAACATCATTGAATTACTTACGAAAGGCCGGGGCCAGCATTTTTAGCTGGGTAGTTTCGGGAAGAAGCTTCTATAGTTAAAGACGGTAAAGATGGCAGTCAGGCTCCTATAGTTTAGAAGCCCCCAGCCTTTCAGCATTGTTTATGTACAAAATATCCTTCATAATTCATGTATAGTTTCAAAATACCAGCATTACACGCTGCAGCGGCTCTGACTTCTAAACCACATCAAACACCAGAAAACTTTACATAGGTACTGTATATCTATGGGAATTTCTCTCACAAGTATCCAATAGGAAATAATGTTTTTGCTTTCTTCAGTAGCGTCAGCGACTAAAACCAAAAAATATTTTTTCCAAAAAACAAAAATAAACGAAATAATTTCAATTTAATTACGATATGAACTGTACTGACCAAGAGCCATCAAAAATACTCTAGTGTGTATACATATGAGCCGCAAAGAATGAGCACCAGACAATCAACCAGTCCATGGGGGCTGAGATAAATATCGTAGTGATGTTATTGTCTGACTACAACAAATGCTCGTCAACTCCCTTGTTCACTTTACGATCCTGATTTCCGCTCTCTAAAGGGTGTTTGTAATAACTGAACTTTCTCCTGTATAGCTTCTCATCATGATTTCTATTCCCTAATTGATACATAAACCCTTGTATAATTTATAATCATGATTTCCGTTCCTTATATGGTGTTTGCAATGACTGAACTTTCCCTTGTTCTGCTTCTAATCCTGATTTCTTTTCCTAATGCTATTTCTAGTCCGTGAAGCGGAATCATACAGGGAATTGTGTCGCTGATCGTTGTCGGCCGAGGGACCGAGAGAACAATCGCTCGATTTTCCTCGATTAGCTAGTCGTGAAAGATTGCATAATTGTTGAGACGTCTATTCGATTGTTTGCGAGTGCTCGTTGCACAAACAAACAAACAAACAAACGTTTGTGTTCTCGAAGAATTTCTATACATAGACACATAAGTTCTAGAGTCTTTATGGTCGTAGTGCTCAAATCGAATACACTCCATGAGACACTACATGTCCGTAGGACTGATACGTCCTTTTGCCTGGCCAAAATGGGTAAACTTGATCCACACATATTTTTAAAAATTCATCGTTTTTTGGACAAAGTTTTACTCTTCTCATTGAGTGAACGACAAAGAACCGAATCTATTTGTGCTACATTAATATAAACTTTTCCTGTGATGCTATCTAGAGACGATGGCTCAAAGAATGACTAGAAGTGTCATAAAAAGAATGGTCCTGATATGGTGAACTCCGAATACGACGACGAATAAGATATTTGTCAGCGTTAAAAATAATGGATTAAATAACAAATTTTTCTATAAACTGCGACCATAATATGAGTTTTTTTTTGCAGCGTGATAGCCTTAAATTTCGATCTCAACGAGAGGTGGTAACACAAAGCGATCATTTACAGCATGTGTTTCATTATTCCTGGTTATTATGAATGATTCGTTTCAATAATATTGTTGCAAATCTGTATCGTGGCAGAAAACTGTATCTTAACCTAATTGCCACCATATTTATTCAGGTAACAACCGCAAGCAATATTAAATTAACGGTCTTCATATATGACTTAAGTTAAATCAATTTAATAAATATTTATAAAATTTTGTGTGTTTGAAGCCTGGCACCGTAACATATAGGGGCTGTTGGGGCGCGTATCCAGGATACATATTGTGCCGGCAGTAGAGTTCATTTTGGACACCTGGAATCGAAACCTAAAGATACATATAGGTACACTCTGAAAAATGAACGGATACGTAATATTGCCCAAAAGTAGGTAACGCATTCTATACTTAACATACATACTTTCATACATACAGCACGAGCAGTGGACGATAGTAGCACAGATATGCCCTAGCAGGGCTACACCTGGTCAGTGCGACCCACGCAAGAATAATACATGTATCACTATTGGGACAAAGTCTCACTCAATTCTCTGAGTGCGAGACACTCAGGAGAGACTCAGACGCCGAGGCAACGATTAGCGGCCGCAGCCTCGCTCCATTACTCAGGCGTCAAGTGCGCATCGCTGCTTTGTAGGAGACCGAGGCGCTCATCTAGTAGCGCTCTAGAGTGCCTCTAGCACCTGTCAATATATAGGCACTCTGAGCTATAGGAGACCGAGGCGCTCCTAATCTAGAAGCACTCTAGAGTGCCTCTAGCACCTGTTAATATGTGGGCACTCTGAGCTATTGGACACAGAGGTGCTCCTCGTCTAGAAGCGCTCTAGAGTGCCTCTAGCGCCTGTCAATATATAGGCACTCTGAGCTATAGGAGACCGAGGCGCTCCTCATCTAGAAGCGCTCTAGAGTGACTCAGCACCTGTCAATATGTGGCACTCTGAACTATAGGCCACCGAGCCTTATCTAGCCTTGGCGCCTGTCAACGGCTGGGCACTCAGAGCTGCATTTTGGGTTGCATGAATGGGAAATATAGTTTAAAGAACATGAATTCTTTTTCAACTATAAATATAACATAATTTGCTAGTATATTAAATATTTGTGAAAAATTTGCTGAAATTACATGGTGTTTGAAAAATTGAATGACTATAGGAGTTTTATTGGCATTATGACTCAAAAACTCACGCCAGTTATTGGCAAATATAGTTTGAAAATACTCAAGGATTGGCCGACGGATTTTAAAACGTTTTAATGAATAAAGTAATTTTCTGATGGGTCTATCAAAATTCCATTTGTTTTCGAGAGAATACAGTCCCTGGTTTTTCCCAATATAAACTGACTTTCTATACCATGTCCGACAAGTAAGCATTCGAGCTGACCATTTAAATGGTTACGGAAGTGAATCTACTTAAATTGTTGAATACATCGTCGGCATCGGAGAAAATAATCTAATAATGTAAGAGATGGGAGAAGAACGATACTGGACCCTACTAAAGAGGGATCTATATATATATATATTCTAGCACTAACTAGACTTCGAAGAATTCCAGTCATTAGGATACCTCGCGAAATTTTGAAATGTTATGCAGCAAGGCATTGAGAATCATTATTTTCAGCGAGAGCATTCTGACTTACGAGCATTGTACATTGATAGCATATACTTTTCGAGCCAATAAGTGCAGTCAGACAGTGTATAAATTCACTTGTATTTGTAAAAATATATATTTTATTTGTGATATTCGTGAAAAAATGTCAACAAAACTGAGAGATAGCAAAATTATCGAGGCTTATAAGATCTTTAACGGCATCAACCAAAGCTCACGCGGTGCAACCACAGTCGAGAAAAGAGACTTACTTAACATGATTTATTCAACAGAACAAAATAAACATATCGAATAAACAATAGACACGCCATAGATACATTGGTGTGACTATGGTAAATTCCCATCGACATATGTAGTACATGAGCAAGAAGTTACACCGTCACTATTTAGGATACTCCTCCACAAGGTCCACTCACTCTTCCTCTAAGTGAGTTACCCTCTTCAATTATTTAAGGTGAGCGACACCTTTCAACTGAGCAGATGCACGTAACAAACTAAAAGCGCTTGAACATCGGACAAATCCACTTACGCAGTAGAGCTGTTTGTGACTTTATTGAGCGTAAAATGTCTGCCTGACAGAAATGTTAACAATTTTCATGCGATCATTGCAGGCATGGAGCGGGCAAAACAGGCCTGAGAATCCGTTGTCGAAGTTTTTTGAAACATTTTCCTTTAATGCCTGAGATGGAATAATAAAATTAATTTTTTTCTGATAGCTAAAACATATTTTACGAAACAAAACGCTTACGTTCTTTGTGTCGTAAAATAAAGTAAATGAAACGATGCCCACGGATATTACTAATAAATCTCTTGACGAGAGAAGAATCGAGGCGCATCTGAGCTCCTGCTTCATTTCCCGTTACGAGGCAGAAAATGATTGCCCTAACTCTTTGATGATATTTGTCAAGGCGAAAGTTACGGAAAAAGAAAAAAAATTTTACTCGAATTTTTCTGTAGCCGGCGCAGCTGAATTATCGATCTTAAAAACGAACACCTAATTTCCATACCACTTTTATTCATTCCCTGCAGATAAGCCATTTTTTTTCAGATAAACAATCAAGATAGACAGGCTCACCTGCTTGTAGATGAAGGCATTGAAGACCAGCAGACTGATGAAGGGTAGAAGGTACATCACTAGGAGGTACATCCACGTGATGTAGACTTGGATGTAGGACGCGTGGCCTCGTAGTTCCGTCATCACCACCGTCGTGAACTCCACCCCATCCACGTTGCAGTTCTGGGTGGAGGACGTTTTGTGCTGTTAAGCTAATATTTATATTAAATAGGCTAAAATTGATGCAAATTGAATGAAATTTACTGGATCTAGTTTTAAAAATCTTCCTTACTTCAACAAGACTTCACGGTATACAAAATTTATCGAAATTTTTTGGTTTTAATGTAAAAATTTTCTTCGCTCAAATTTCAAAAGGTCGTGAACGGCTCTACTGCACACGTCAATGAATCACTAAGTCGCATTTTAATAACTAATTGTGTCAGAATCTCAATTCAAGATATCGGTAATATTCAACATAAAATTTCAAATCAGTTTATAAGGTCCAAGGGTTTCAAGGGCAAGTGAACTCTAAAGATAGACACGGATAAGATGTAAACAGAAGGAATCTAAGAGCAACAGTTGATGAGCACAGCGTTTAGACTAGTCATCAAGACTAGTTCACAAGTCTTGATCTCTCATCGCGTCTAATCGGGACTAGTAAACAACGTAAGTGAATTTCTCGAGAGAAATTCAAGGGAGTTTAACTGACGTCTTCCATCAACAGGGCGCTGGAGGGAATTACATCTTTAAGTGAATTTTCGATTGTGTGACGTGATCCTGATGAATTTATTTTATCCTCAAGTTTTTCAATGATTTCTAATAAGATTTAGTTCGCATTTAAAGTACATATCACTTGTCAGATTTTAAGGGGGCAAATGCGTAAATAAAGAAATTCATGAATTAAGCGATATTACCGTAACTTTATACACAAATGTTAAAGACTTATAAAAGCATCTTTCGTTCGTATCTAATTTTTGAATGAATGAAAGAAAACGTGAAGAGAATGCCTTTTTTATCAGTTGCAATTTTATTCAGTTGTATAATTAAAATCATGAAAAAATTGTATTATATTCAAAATACAAAAATCTATTGACTCATGCGATTCATTTAAAAAATTATGATTGATGATTTTTTCAGGATTTTTGATTTTCAATCTACGCACTCCTCTTCAAAAAATAATAATAATAAATAAAATAAACATAAATAAATATAGAAATATAAGATAATAAAATATAATAGAATAGAATAAAAAATGAAAAAACTATGTAAATAAAATAAACTAAACTAAAATAAAATAAATCATAAAAATCTTTCGTTCCGGCCTATCTTATTTAAAAAATAAATGTCCAAAGAAAGAACTTTCAAAGTTCATAGGTCATAACAAATCAAATAACGAGTCTTTCGTTGTTGTAGCCCTTGAATAATAGGAGTTATCAACTTTAAAATTGGAAATAGTAATTGTTCAGAAGAGAGGAATTACAAACCATGTTCAAATAAAAGTACAGGTTGCAAAAATTGCTTGGCACTGTATCTCTCACATCGCCTTTTAATCGTACAATCTTGCACGTGATATCATTACGAGAAACAATTTTGTCTAATTTAACTTGAATAATTTTATACAAACATAATTTTTTCGACGAATTTGCGAACCGAATGTCAGAAAATTTTCTCTGTTTACAAGTTAGACACTCGAGTGCAAACTGAGGGATGCACTGCAACACAAGATAACATCGAGCAACACAAGATAATATTGAGCAACACAAGATAACATTGAGCAACGCAAGATATTATCGAGCAACACAAAATAACATTGAGCAACACAAGATAACATCGAGCAACACAAGATAACATCGAGCAACACAAGATATCATCGAGCAACACAAGATAACATTGAGCAACACAAGAGAACATCGAGCAACACAAGATAACATTGAGCAACACAAGATAACATTGAGCAACACAAGATAACATTGAGCAACACAAGATAACATTGAGCAACACAAGATAACATTGAGCAACACAAAATAACATTGAGCAACACAAGATAACATTGAGCAACACAAAATATTATCGAGCAACACAAGATAACATCGAGAAACACAAGTTTACATCGAGCAACACAAGATAACATCGAGCAACACAAGATAACATCGAGAAACACAAGATAACATTGAGCAACACAAGATAACATTGAGCAACACAAGATAACATTGAGCAACACAAGATAACATTGAGCAACACAAGATAACATTGAGCAACACAAGACAACATCGAGCAACACAAGATAACATCGAGCAACACAAGATAACATCGAACAACGCAAGATAACATCGAGAAACACAAGATAACAACACAACCATCAAGTAATGGAAAATACTGCAGCAGCAACAGAATATTCCATTAACAACAAAACACTTTTCAATGCATGTTAGACTTCAGCTCAACAATAACTGAATTTTCTTCAATGTTGAAAACCGTATGAAAACATTGCGTGAAATTCAAAACGCTTCCTGAAAAGGGAAATTCTCATGCGAAAGTATGCTTCTGTACCTACGTCCAAAAGCAAATCGTTTCAACTGAAAGTTCAAGTTTAACTTTCGAAACTTTTTTTTACTTATTTGAATTTTTACCTACGACTTGTGTTTTTTTTGTTGATTTCTGCAGGATGAAGTTTCTGTATTACCAAGCCAATCAGACATTTTTGATTGTGAAGATTTTAAGGTAAAAATATTTAATATAACTAAACTAGAATAAAAGTTTTTATTTCCCATGAGACATCGAAGCTGTTCTTTTATTTGAATCAGCGTTGGAAACCACAAAGAACAATTATTCCAGCCATTATTATAACAACGGCCACAGGAATAAAGTGCATATCAAAGGAGTGTATATTCCAGGAAGTTCAAAGCCAAGCCATCCTTCAGATGATTCCTTAAAGCGTCTCCCATTATAACCTGTACTTTTATTTGAACTAGTTTGTCATTCGTCTCTCCTGAACAATTACTATTTCCAATTTTTAAAGTTAATAACTCCTATTATTCTAGGACTACAACAACGAAAGACTTGCTATTTGATTTGTTATGCAAATACCTGCATGAGGCATTGATAGTTTATGATAGTTTCAAAGTCTCATATTCAACTAAATATAACAAGTCACGTCACCAATAATACGGATTGGTTGGTTGAAAATTTAAGCATGACCGCATTCCAATACGAATAAGCTCTTCTAATTTCCTATTTCTCAACGAAATGCGTAAAGCAGTTACAACTCAGAACAGATCTTGAACATTAGCTCCATTTTAATATAATATTTTCTATATATAAGAAAATATTTTATTTTCATATATTTTATTTTCATATAATATGTCAAAGATTCCATTTAAGCGTTTTTTGACCTCTTTCGGTCAAAGCTGCCCTCTCGCTTTGAGAATCTCGGTGGTAAATTCCTTGCCGAAATGTAGCATACATTGCCTCCTATGCCAAGACGAGCTCTGCATGGGAGCAATAATCTCTTGGCCGCCATATTGCCGCGCGCTGGGCAAACTCGCGGCTTTGAGGAGTTGCATTGAAGACGCTTTAAGGAATCATCTGAAGGATGGCTTGCCTTTGAACTTCCTGGTATATACACTCCTTTGATATGCACTTTATTCTTGTGGCCGTTGTTATAATGGCTGGAATAATTGTTCTTTGTGGTTTCCAACGCGAGGCTTTAGATATTTTCCATTTATGTTGGTAAACGTTGGTCAAGTTCCTTAATTGCTAGAAGTTGCATTTCCGCAGTTTAGTGCAGGAAATTTACATCGGATGCACTATCAAGCTTCGATTAATTTCAAAGAGAAACATCGCTGATGAACGGAAACTCTATTTCAGAAATGTTTACTGAATAATAAATTGTCGGGGTTCATAATTTTTTCAAAATAGTAAGTGATATCTGCATCTTCCGAAGCGGTTAGAAGCGGTATCGCCGTAGCGTTACGTTTCATGACTTTAAGACACCATTTACGAGAAGAAAAATGAAGCATAAAATGGCTTATATATCACAATTGCGGGACGGTTAAATAATTTCAACCATTGAATCTCTTATAGGCGATAGTAAAAGTTTTGGTCTGGTAAGGGACGTTCTTTTTCAAGTGGCTTTTAGTTTCTACTGTGAGAATGTTTAAAGATAATAAGATACTGAGATAATAATAAGATAATAAGAATATTTAAGAAAATAAGATATTGAGATAATTATAACATAATAAGAATATTTAATATAATGAGATAATAAGATAGTGAGATAATAATAAGATAATAAGAATGTGTAAGATAATAAGAATGTTTAAAATAATAAGATAATATCTTATAAACACTCTGAAATAAATGATTAAAGGTCTCAACGCTCACCTTGTACGTGACCTCAGCGAATCTTGGTATATTGTAGAGCAGCGAGAAGACTGCCACGGCCACGACGTACAGCCTCGCCCGACCGTACGTACATAAAGTTAAAGCCTTCATGGGATGGCACACCGCCACGTATCTCTCGACCGTGACCGTGACCGTGAGGTACACTGATCCTGTCTGTGCCACGATACCCAGAGGGTAGGCTACCAACGTAACCCACGGGAAGACATCCCTCTGGTACCACTGTAGGAGGCCGGTGAACTCTGAGATGGCGGTCACCCCGAACATCAAGATGGATGTGATGAGAAGGATGCTGTCGAACGTCGCCAGGCCCACGAAGCAGCAGTTGATGGATGACCGCATGTTCGGTCTGTTGGAGATCAGGGGGAATTCTTCAGTGGAAATAAATTGGTGAAGTCATGAAATCAATTTCCTGTCAATTGAACAGGTGTGGAAATTTGTGTTGCCCGAAATTCATCAACACGAATTTTTTTACACAAAAAATTGACCGTCCTTAATCTAATTCTATACTTGCTGTGGAAATAACATCGGTATAAACACTAGTAAATTCATAAATAATAAGAAAGTTTTGTAAAGTTTGGCCAGGCTACCTGCACTAAATATTTAAACATCTTCGCCGGCCGCTCGGCGGCCCCCGACAAGATGCTAGGCATAATCTTCCCTTTATATTACTTAAGGCGAAGAAAAGTTCATGAAAATCAAATAAATCGAAAAAAATAATTTACAATAATTTCGTATACTATATTTATATATAGTATCAAATAAAAAATTATGATAATAAATTCTGATAATAAAAAACAGTTAATTTCATTAGAAAATAATAATATATTTTAATTATGAACCAACAAATGTTTTTATTTGAAGTTTGAAACACATTGGGGGTTTCATGTCCATAGGTTAATGTCATATAGCTGAGCTGAACAATTTGTTTAATAGCCATATTATTGATGTGATCTCAACTGATGGCATGGAGGGAGACACATGCGAAGAAAATTACTCAGAAAATATAAAGTTGACAAATTTCACAACATGAGCTAAAAACATTTATGAAATAACTAGAGTTACTGTTCATTTATGCGAAGTAAATTTAAATATTCATGAAATTTCTATCTGTAACTTAATAGAATCAGTAAAGTTTCAAATTTTGAGAGCTGAAAATCATTTTACCAACGCGTCGAACGCGTCAGACCATCACGTCACAATCAAGATGCGAGGAAAAATCCACAGCTCCATTAGGGCCTCGATCAGACGTGGGAAAAAATAATGATGATGATGATGTTGATCATCAATAAGACGTGCGGGCATCTCGGTGAGCTGAGAGTGAAGCAAGATGGTGAGGGGATATAACGATTTTGTGATTTAAGACGTCGAGTCCGCGTAAAGCTTTTGAATTTTGAATTTGAAAATAGTACGTTCTTAATTTTGGCTGCAAGATCACGTTCATGATCTCTAACAGCAAGATCACGTTCATGATCTCTAACAGCAAGATCACGTTCATGATCTCTAACAACAAGANTCTAGATGTGTATAAGAGACAGCTCTAACAGCAAGATCACGTTCATGATCTTAACAGCAAGATCACGTTCATGATCTTAACAGCAAGATCACGTTCATGATCTCTAACAGCAAGATCACGTTCATGTTCTCTAACAGCAAGAACACGTTCATGATTCCTAACAGCAAGATCACGTTCATGATCTCTAACAACGAGATCACGTACTTAGATATCGTCTTCACGGTAAATGAAAAATACATAATGTCACGTCTTCACCATGAGTAGCAATAATTACTCGTCTTCACTTATAACAGCAGCGAGGTACAATGCTGAATTGTGAGGCTGGCCTATGAAGAAAAGACGCCACACCAACAACAATACCATTTATGGTAGGCTCATCGTCGGCTAAAAGGCCTCATAGGCCGCAATAAATTGTGAAGAAGACTCCATCCACAATATTACAAAACCACCATGAGTGAAATTATATTTTTGTACAGGTGCAATAAATTTATACGCAAATTGAATGAAAATATCAATTAAGACCACATCCATAGAACTCTTCTATACTTCCAACGATGAACCTCATAAAACTTAAATTATATTTTGATGAAAATTCATTTTTATACAGCCTAACATTTAAATATTAAAAATAACACCAGTAAAAAATAAATAACATCCGTTGTTAGGAAAATATGGAATTCCTCCGACTCTAAAAAAATGAGAAGTTCGTCAACAATGCCAAGTTCCTTAATAAAATTGCGCAGTTCCTTAATAAAATTTCATAAGTTGGGCTCGAGTTGTTGATCAAAGTTGTGTGGTGACGTAAGATTATTTTTATGACGTGCGGAGGGGAATGACGGGAAGGGGGTGAAGGGGATGGGTGTGAAGGGGAAGGGGGTGAAGGGGAAGGGGGTGAAGGGGAAGGGGGTAAATGGGAAGGGGTGAAGAAGAAGGGGAGTGAAGGTGAAGAGGAAGGGGTGAAGGGGATAGGGGTGAAGGGGATGGGGGTGACGGGGAAGAGGGTGAAGGGGAAGGGGTTGAAATGGAAAGGGATGAAAAGGAAAGGGTTAAAGTTAAAGAGGGTAAGGGGGTCGTGCAAAAACTTTCAACTTTTTAAATAATATTTATTTCGACAAATAATAACACTGCAAGTCAAAATTAGAAAATTTAAATTAATGGAGAGGTGTTAGTGTTCATAATGGTTGTCGCTCAAATTTAAAGTTAGAGCGAAGTTAATAAATCTGCTGCGACTCTCATAAAAATAAGATACGGTAGAACTTGATAGGCCTGATTACTTTTGTGGGACAGGAAGCATACATCCTTCACTGAGAAACATGCTAATATCCTTCCATATAAAAAGGTGAATATTGGTGCTCAAGATTTAATATATCATGAACAACAATAATTCAGGTAGCACTGGTAAATTTGAAACTTTATTAAGACTATTTATCAGCGGAAAGTTTTTAAGGAAATAATATGTGAGTCACTTAATTCTGAAAATGAATAAAAAACTACTGGAAATTGTTTATAATGAAGTTAATTAGCGTAGATAATAGTATCGTCTGTTCTTTTGAATTTTAATTATTGGATATTTGAATTATTTGTAATTGTTCGAAAGGTCTTCTCTTTTCGCTCTATTTGAAAAAAATTTGCTCCTGGAACAGCTCGTGTAGCAGCCAATCCTTTCTTATTTGCTCTGATGTCTCAAAAAAGTATACATAAAGAAGCTGGATATTGATGAAGGCGTCGGGATAAAATTAGAGGTTATTCTTCAATATGATCCGCTACACAGACGCGGGATAAAATTGATTTATTTGGTTAGATCTTCTTATGTAAATTGGCGTGATCAAATGGACGGGCGGGAGGAGCTTCTGTTGGGACTGGCCGTGGAAGAGCCTTCGAGCTGGCGTCGGGGATTGGTTCAATGGATTGATCAATTCGATTAAGCAAACAGGATTTATTTGCTTAAAAATCTGTTTGATTTGAGCAATGGATTGACAAGAATTCTATTTTGGACAAAGGAATATGCCGTTCGTGACATATACCGGCCCAACTATTCCGGCCATTAAATACTATTTACCTTAAGCAGCAAATGCTTAAGCATTATATGCTTGTAAGTAAATAAATGCTTGCAAGTAAGAATGTAAATACTTGTAAGTAAGTAAATGCCTTAAGCAGTAAATGCTTGCCCAGCTGCAATAAATGCTATTTACCATAAATATTATTTATCGTAAATACTATTTACCTTAAGTCGAAGAATATATTAAACATGACAAATTGTATTCGTACCTGAAGGCCTGGTAACGACCGTACGGCCATAATCTAAAGAGTTAAAATATTTTAAGATTGAAATTTGTTTGGTTCTGTCCCTCAACCAAACCCTTGCTCCGACCCTCGCTAAAACCCCACCCAGACCTTCAACCTAACCCTTACACAGATCTTTCGATAATCTGGGTGAGGGTCAGGTGAAGATCTGGGTGAGGGTCAGGTGAAGATCTGG